TATATATATATATATATATATATATATATATATATACACACACACACACACACGTGTATTTTCATTGTCCTTTAAATACTCATGCCCAGCATATTTCCATAAATTATAGCTTTATGCATATAATTTCTCATCATGTAACTTGGAAGGAACTACATCATAATGGGATTGAGAAGTTTTTTGGTACATCAGTGATTTTATATACAAGTGTATATATTTTACAGATATTTTTATTACTGTTAAAGGACTTGATTTATCTGTCTTGTTTCTGTCAAGGGTCTTCTCAATGTGCTTTACTATGATTTACTTGGTTGTGATTAATTCTGTGAAAAAAAGTGTTTATTTTAATGAGTTACCCCATTCATCCACCTGAAATCTACAGAAAACCTTGACATACTCTCATTTTTCCTGACAATCACTAGTAGAGATGACAATGCACTCTACAAGGGCTGTGTGATTCCTTTAGCATCCACTGTATTTCAGCACTGGCTAAATCCCTGGTGTTCCAAGGAAGCCTGTGTAGTGGTTGTTTATTAGTAAGAGCATTTCCTGTAACTATGTGATGGCTAGTCATTTTTGGTTGATCCAGTTGACTGTCTGGTCTCAAAAATACATTGAAAAACATAAACAACAGGTCAATGAGTTTCTGAAACTGTGTTAAATCATGATTGCTTGCATGATACTTAACCAGTGACCTCACACACATTGGCAAATGAGTATCTGCTTTCAAACACTGTGCAACAAAAGTAATACCAGAGAGAGACTGGATAGCTGACTGCCTATAATTAAAGAAGAACACTGGGACTTCATTCTTCCTTGAACAGATTACTGTACAAGCTTATACTGCCTGCTTTCTTGGCAGTGTTTTTCAATGTTTTGTCTCTTTAACCACACTACATGGTGCCACTGAACTAGACCTCATCCATAACAAACCATTTGTGTATACACTCTTGTAATCCACTGTTTCTGGGCCTGTTCTGGCTGCCATCAGATGGTTTACTAATAGAAATACAGCTCACTTGTTCCACAAGCAAAACTAACCAACAATTTCTGCTATAGATCTAGTTTGAGGATATCAATGCTAAAACCTAGGTTGGCAATGCTACCTTTATTCTGTGGTTGACATTACTTGGATGTAGTTAAGGAAAACAGTACTAACCACCTGTAATGATGGCTTCATCAAGAGTACCTAATACTCAGCAAGATCAACCACTGTTCAGGTATATTTAGATTCTGTATCAACCAGGAATTTCTTTTTTTACTCTTGTATTTTTACGGGCACATACCAAGTACCACTCGACTCTGAAAGAAATGGGCTGACCATCAAACCTTTTGGTGCAAGCTGCCTACTGCACCTCTCCAAGTCAATGGCTAGACCAATGTGAGCTCCATTACTTACCCAACAGAAGTAGCAGCAGCTAAAGTGCACTGTCAGTCCCCCTGCATCTGCTGTATAATTGGTTGAAACTGGTTACTTTACCTATCTGACTGCACATGAAGGTATGGGCATTTCACTTTGAAATAATCTTTCTGTATACACCCAAAGCAGATGTTTTGCTCCTTCCTTCAGATGTGATGTTTCAGCAAAGGCATCATCGGCTGTGACATAAACATCATGAGAGGAACAAAAAAACTCTGTCCATTAACTGCAAGCCAGATTGGTTGTGTTACAGCACTGAGATGTGTTGGTTGCTCCTATCTCTAGATAATTTTCTTCAGTTACATTTTTATGTAATATATCAACATCCTCAATATAGCTAGAAATACCCAAGAGTTTAATATTATCATCAATCTATACTAATTTACTAATTATACCCCTATCACTTTCATTAATGTAAATAAAAGAAAGAAAGGTCCAAGCACTAACCCCAGAGATACTCCACTAACAATAAGGGTCCAGTTTGACTCCACTAATAACAACCTTTAGCTTTCTCTCATCCAACACCCTGCAATCCAATTAACTAATCTTTTCCCAACTGTTACTAATGCTTTTGCTTAGGTAATATTTTGTGTTGTATATTATCAAAAACTTTTAAATAATCTATCGTCTGGAAACAAGTAAATAAAACAAACTCACTGGTATACCTTACTTCAACAACAAGAGATCAACATGCACGAGAATGTGTCTTGCGGCCAAAAAAACAACCTGCAGGACACACTGTATGTTATTAACAGGAGTGATAGTTTATCGATTTTCCACCTTCTATAGCTCAAACTGTGGTAATCCAAACTATCACATATTTTCAGTGGATGTGCTCTACTGGACTCCTTCACATATCAAATTTCAAGGTAATCCATTACGAAATACCTGAGATACATAACATCTCCAATTTTGATTAAGTTTCTTGCTTTTTTTTCTTCGCACCAAAAGCATGGAAACTTTATTTGACAGAAAAATATACTTAACTTTTATGGATTTTTTTCCAAATTTGGGATACTGACAGATCTTTACAACCTACAATCATGAGTCTCATTTTGTGTAAATATAAGTCACATGTGCAAAGTTTTCAAAAAAACTGCTCAAATTTAATGAAAATTTTTGCACATGCTTCCACAAAAAGTCTTGTGAGCTATCAGTTTAACATTTTTACTACAGCTTCACCTAAGAGTAAAAGTGGACAGTTTTTGAGATTCAGATTAATGATAGCTGACTTATGGAAGCAAAACTATAAGCTGAAAACACATAAGTATTAGTTAGGCCAAATAAACTAGATTAGCAGTTTCTAGCTCAAATTTTCAAAAGAATCATACAGGTGGATGGTTATTATCGATTATTCATTGCTAATTTTTGAGCCCAAATTTACTAAATTTTGTGAAATTATCCTTATTAAAGAACATTTAGCATCACATGGTATTAGCTTAAGCAATTAGCATAAATACTGATGCTTGATGCACCTGTACTAATTGCATGGGAGTGATGACAAGACACTGTTAATCTAAATTCCATGGCATTATTATAAAGGAAGCTATTAACACTGTTTTAGAGAAGAAAAACTACCACCATATATTTTAAAAAATTTGGTTGATTCTGTAAAGTAAAGGTCTGTTCCAAATAATAGGGTTGCAAACTTATGGCTAATGTTGGTTATTATCGAGTGTCACTTTCTTATTTGGTGTGGTTTGTTAGTGTGTATTTTCAAAAGGTCATGATATCTAATCAAAAACATCTTAGGTATGAAAAAAAGGTGCAGTCAAAAAAGGATTCAGCATGTGACTTAAAGGAATGAAATCAAAATTGGTAGCCAAACTAGTACCTACACAATAAAGGCTTCATAAATTCATAGACAAACTTTATAAAGTCACATAAGTTACAGTACTTTTAGGGCATTCTATTTTAATGCATGATAATTATTTGTATTATAAAAAACATATATGAAATAAATTTAAATAATTTTGTGGACAACCAGCATTGTTACAAAAAGGAAGGTTTAGAGTGCCTCACCCATCAATTGCAAAAAGCCCAGATCCAAGCATATGCACAAAATTTCTTCCTTTTTTTTTATGTATATTTTTTTATTTATTGTTATAAAAGTAGGTGAAATGTAAAAATTAGAAACTTATTAGGTTAGATAAGAAAATACACTTGATACATTCAGAGTTATATTTCACGGATACAAGGATGGTCAGAATAACCAAGCCAGATACATAGTGTGAAGGAGTTATTAACATTACCATACAAATCACTGATAACAAAGTTCATTTGAATTCTCAGAATAATTAAATTTACCTACCTTCCACACACCTGAGCCACTAAATTACAGCCATAAGTATCTTGATGACAAGGAGTATGGGCACCACTGCTGCCAACCCAGAAAGTACTCTCTTTACCTTTTCTATTCTCAAATCCAAAGGTTTTCCAATCAACAACCTACTATGGAAAAATATACTTAGAATATGCAGCATAAACCATAAATACAGTACAAGAAATTACAAAACTGAAATGGTGTCATCAACATTTTATATCCACAACATTATAAATCATCAATAGGTAGTACTTCATTTGTATTTGTACACTGTACATAACTTCAGGTTGACACTAGATGTAGCAACATATACAACCTTGCTAACTTGCTAAATGAGGTAGAAAAAGATGGTTAGAAAACAGATCAATTATCCTCAAAAATAGTAAATTTACCGAGCTTAAATGTATTTTCCACACAGTTCTGAAAAATCAAGTGTAAGTTTATCATATTAAATGAATGATAGACCATAAATATTTTAATACTACACCTATTCTATTTTTGAATTTGGTAGTTTTGTTTTAATTTTTTCCAGAAATGTTCCAGAAATGAAAAATGCAAAACCTGCTGATGCAATGATGGATTGTACATTAAAAACTAATTATATATATATATATATATACAATACACACACACACTGTAAAGACAGATATTTACAGTATGGTTCAGTTATCAACCCAATGAATTACAAAATAACAATAAAAATATATCAGACATGTTTAAACAACACTATTCTATTTTGTTTCTAATACTGAGACATAAAAACTAGCAAATCACATTACCTTGTTATTAATATGTATATATTTTTTGTAGTTCATAGTGAACTGCTCTTACAGAATAATGTGACCTCACACAACACAGTTTACTTTAATCATTTAAACATACAACAAGAAATGGGACCTACAGTTATAATTTAAAGATTTCCATGAAAACATTACATTACTATTTCTAAACATGTTGGCCTAGAATGTGAAAAGGATTCATTACGATAAACATAATCACTTAACTGTTAGTTTTAGCTAAATGTGAAATAAAATAATAAAAATTACGTAATAATTTGTTCACTTGCCATTTTGGTTTATTAAAGAATGGTTTTAATACTCATCTTTGAATACATACATTATGTACACTAGCAAAAGGAGGTTGGCAGTATACAGAATACAAAAAGTACTCATTATGATAAATTTAATCAATTAATTGTTAACATTTATTATTTATTTTTTTGCAGCAAATATACATATAATCATTCAAAGTATTTCATATAAAGCTTCAGTAATACCAATTATCACTTACTTTATTATAATGACTCCTTTTCGTAAAGTAAATGTCCTTTTTACACTCTAGGCCTACCATTTTAAAACATACTGTCATGAATAAGCAAATAACACAAAAATGTGCATGTAATAATAAGTTAATATAAAACAAAATGTACTAGTAAAAGAGAGGTACATCATTAAAATAACAAGAGTTGTTAGAAAATTAAGTGTTAAGATAATTAAACAAGGCAATGTAAAAATCACTTACAAAGTAATTAAGTTAAATTTAAATATTAGGAATATCACAAATAAGTTCAGTATATTTTAAAAATTTCATATAAACAAATTGTTTTTGTAGCACAGAATTTACCATTTTAATGATATAGAAAATATCTCATATCTGCACAAAACTCAAGATTTAAGGAAATTTGTTTTGTTTGATTCTTATAACCAAGCAGTAAGTTAGATGACCTAATCGTATTTCATAAAACTCAACCATTCAAGCATTAGTATTACCATAATCTCTAGGTCATCTATAATCAATAGTAAAGATATCTTACCTGCAGGATATGAGGAATACTTTCAAAAACCTTGGACATATAATTATAACTAGAGTAGCACCAATGGGTAGAAGGACTATATGATGCTAATGAACTTTCTTTGCTAGCAGTTTCATTCACCCAGTCAAAAAACTCCTGAAGAGAACATTTGATATAGTCAGCATCTCTTTCCCATCTTGGCTCTACTCCAGAAAGAATTAACAAATAAATTGTTAATTTCAGTTAAGAAATAGCATATATTTCCAAAATGAAAATTCATAAAAGTTGTTAATGTAAATTTAAATGTTCTTTGTACAATTAACTTACTAATAACAGTTTACATTTACAGCTTACCGATTTTCTTATATTATTTTTTACAGAACTCCTAATTTTTAAAGAAATAAATTTCTAAAAATTAACAATATTGCTATTTTCTAAGATAATTGTGATGAAAACAAATTTTCTGTAACTTACATTCTCCATGAAAGCTGCACTAAGTGAAAATCCTCAAGTTACATAAAAACTTAAGATCATTTAGAATGAAAGGAAAAAAAAATCCCACAAATATGTTTGTTAGATACACACAACTGTTCATTTTAAGTTTAATACAAGAGTATTATTTAGTTTATATCGTGTGAGCATTAAAGTAAAGTTATTTTTAGAAGTGATAGTTATTGCAAGTTTGCTTATGTAACTGTTTATGAATCATTTGTTGCTTAGTTCAATTGTTGTGAATTAACATCACATCACTCGAACCTCCTGAAGTTGTCTTGTTGCTTTAAGTGAGTACTGTTACATCATAATGTCTCGTAGTTTGTAGAAAGTTCCAGGCAATCAAGTAAGTTACGCTAGTGAAAGTAAAAGTGAAAAAGTGAACTTAAATTGCGTGACCGTCAATTTAGCTGTAGTTGGCAATTTCTAAAGTGACTTTCATAGTTTGCATTGTAACAACAGAGTAGAGGAGAATAACTTGTCTTGTCAAAGGGTGTTCTAAAGTAATTGAACCTGCCTATGTGGACTTTGACAAAAAGGAGACAATAAATTAAAGCTATGGATACAACTGTAATAACTAATAGTGTAACAAAGTTTTATGTTTGACTTGTTTTGAATATATATATATACAGGTTTTTTATATACATTTTAAATAATCCAAAAAATTATAAATTACTATATCAATACCATAGAATTCCCCTATAATTTATCAAGCATAGTAACTGTATTTGGGTCTAAAAAATATGAAACTTAAGAGCTCACTAAAGACTTACCTTATCCCCTTGAAATCTTATGTGAAAAGAACAAGATTAACACAATAACAAGTTAAAATGGCTGAGAAAACTGCTAGGGGGACATTCTGAGCTTTCAATTGGTTATGTATGTGTCATATATAGAAGTAATTGTATATAAGGGAGCATTTCCAAAAATGGGTGTGGGGCCAATGTGTTTGATTCAGTAGTGATATCTTAGCAAACAAAAAGTTTAATAGGTTCTTATTTTATATCCTAGCTTGTCAATATCAGTAGTTTCAGTTCCTAATTCATATGAAACTACAGAGTTTGTATTTTGACATCACAAAAAACTAATTTGAACCAGTGCTGTATTCAACATACTATGTGACACACAAAAATCAATATTTATTTATAAAATAAGAAATTAACTAACATATAATACTAAAATTTGAATTATAATCTACAATTTGATACTAAACTTATTGACAAAATTCATAAAATGGCAGTTCAATAAAATTTTGAATGCAAGTCAACAAATGGCATAACATGGCCTTTGACACATGACCCGTCACAATACGAATATTCAAATTAACCTTTTTACTAGCACATTCTGCTAAACCCCACAATAAGCATTACAAAAATATAACCAAACTTCTGCCTTGTATTGACCTTTCTTGCAAATAAAAAACATTTTAACAGTAAACATTATAATACTTATACTAGAAATATACTATAAGTCTCAGTCTTCAATGCTGTGTTGAGATTAACTAAATACACCTCTTTCTAGAAATCTCGTGATCCTTCTAGATATAGTGTAGTCTTGTATATAAAACCAGCCACGAAGCGACGAGGTAATGAGTAATTAGAGAGATAATAATGCAGTCAGAGAGTGTGTAATTGAACGGAGTATTGTTGAAGTTGAGCACGTGAGAAGTTTGTTATAGAGCGACTGTTGAAATTAAATGTATCGTAAAGTTGTATTCGGAAAGAATAAACCAGTTTTATTTAGAAAAGGACTTGTGTTGCTAAAGTTTCGTCGGAACGAATTTACGGAAAATTAACTAACGAACAGAGACGTAACAAACTGGTGTCAGAAGTGGGATAAAAAAAATGGAAACGAGAAGCGGCAAATCAAACTACAGCCTAGCAGACTTAATGGCAGCAATACAAGAACAGCAAAAGAAACAAGAAGAACGAGAAGAGAAATTACAACAGTTGTTAGAGGAAAAAGAAAAGAAACAAGAAGAACGAGAAGAGAAATTACAACAGTTGATAGAGGAAAAAGAAAAGAAACAAAAAGAACGAGAAAAGAAACAAGAAGAGAGACAACAGCAGTTGCAAGAAAACTTGCAACAGTGGCAGCTCAAGCAACAAAATAAACAAGATGAGAGATTACAGCAGCTGTTGGAGGAAAAAGAAAAGAAACAAGAAGAACGAGAAAATAAACAGGAAGAAAGTCTCCAACAACTACAGGAAAGTCAACAACAGTGGCAAGAAGTACAAATGGAAAACATTAGTAAATTTAAAAGCGAATTAAATACGTTAAAGGACAACTTATTGTCTTTTACACAATAAGGATACATTAACCATCGACTTAACCAGCCCCAGACAATGACAAGCCCCTTCCAGACCCTGCAGCTAAACCCTAATGCAGACATCTTCAGACCTGTTAGAAGTCACATCCCAAATATTAATGTCAGTAATAGGAGTGATTCAAGTTGTTGCTGAGGGATCAGTTCGTAGATGCCTTGGACAGTCCATAACTTAAGATACAAGTGAAGCAAGCACATCCCTCTACCATACAGGATGCAATGGCCAGAACCCAGCACAGAGGTACCAAGGACGGTACAGTCATCTAGATTCAAGGCCAGAAAATGTCGGCTATCAGAGAAGTTTGAGGGACTTTGCTGGCACTGTAACAAACCTGGGCACAAGAGAGCTCAATGCTGGCAACTTCAACACTGGAGAGATGCCAGAGCAGGAAAGGCTGCTACCCAGAAATGTTGTTGGAACTATGGAAAGCACGGACATTTGAGGAGCCAGTGTAGGAGGAATATTACGAACAAGTCGGCCTCAAGGAGACCAGTAGTGGTTGGTGTCGAGCGACGCTCGCCAACCCCCATCATGAAAGTCCCAACAGCTAGGTGTAAAATGCCAAGCACACACAGTGTCTATGTGACAGGAAAAAGAGATGGCCAAAGGTGCAACTTTGTCATAGACTCTGCGTCTCAGCAAACTCTTGTGAGCATCAAGGTGTTAGATAACGAAGCAGTACCAGAAGCCACGCAGAAGCTTTATGGTGTGACGGGACATTCTGCAAGGTTGTGGGGACCAGTGTGGGTAACTATTGAGTTCATGGGCATAAAGGACAGACAGAAAGTATACTTGGCTGACATGGAAGATGAATGCATATCAGGATTGGCCTATCTACTACCAAGGAAGTTTGTAATTGATTTTGATAAAATGACGTTTGGGAACAACAAAGGTCAAGTTCCGGTAACTGTTAAAAGAGAGGTTGAACTAATTAGATGCCATCAAGCTGAAGTCAAGCCAACTGAAAAAGTTGATGATGATGAAATGGAACAAAATACAGATATCAAAGCAGAACAGGAGAAAGACCAAGATCTGAAGCCAATGATTGATTTTCCAAAACACTTGCTTTTAGGGCTTAGACTAGACACCTTCTCCCAAACAGGGCGAGTGACAAAGCACTATTGGGCACAATGGGACCAGTTAAAGCTTGCAGATGGTATTCTTGTCCGGAGATGGGAAACTACCGATGGGAAAGTGACGACTTGGCAAACAGTTATACCGAGGAAGTTACGGGAAGTTGTGCTGCGTCAGTCCCATGATAATTTAACTGGAGGACATCTCGGAATCAAAAAGACATTGAGTCACATACGACAAAGATTTTATTGGATAGGTATGAGGCGAGATGTGGAAGAATGGTGCCGAACATGCAGTACGTGTAGTGCTAAAAGGGGACCCAAGCATACGGGACACTCACCTTATGAAGAGTTACCTGAGAGTGTGTCAGAATTTGTGAAAGTGTTATCGGAAAGGATGGATGATATCCACCATCAAGTGCATTTAAAGTTGGAAACGTCTGCTGATTCGATGAAGTTAACTTATGATAAGAGATCTACTGAAGTCACCTTTGTACCAGGAGACAAGGTATGGTTGTATAATCCCAGGAAGACCAAAGGGAAGTCTCCTAAGTTGTCTTCTCCATGGGAAGGCCCATATGACATAG